TTGCTTTAATTTTGGAAGTGGGTGGGGTGTCAGCTTCACTCAGCTCTAAAGCACTGATTAGTCTCTTTAGATTGATTTGTTCAATTAGCTTTGTAGAGATCTAGTAGAGTGCTGTATAAATGGGTAAATGAGGCAGATTGTAGTGTAAAGCGCTTTGAGTATCTTGAAATAAGATAGAAAGGCGCTATATAAGTACAGTCCATTTGCCATTTTCAGTAATCGGTCTAAAATACTTCAAATCACTTAGCTACAATACTCAAAAAATAAATGTCTTATTTCAAAGCTATTTAATTAATGCATTTAAAAGACACATTATATTGGTCTATAAATACACGGTCTATGTATCGTATTTGAGGCTGTTCAGGGTTAAAAATCAAATTAGCATCTAGTTTTATTCTTGCATATTTATTACTAACTTGTTTTTAACAAGTTACTTAGCGCATTGGGCACTTTATATTTATTTTAAAAATATAAACACCTTATCAAACCCAGTACCATCTTTGGGCGCCAACCAGTGTTTTCACAAGAATGTGTGCATTTTATATACCGGTATATATGCTCAGAGACACCACGACATGTGGGAATGGCTGGGAGTCGAACTGCAACTTTCTGGTCCCAGGTCGGCTGCCCTACCTCTACACCATCTCGGCCACCATTGTACCGTATACATTGTGCCATGCAATCACAACAATGGCTTCTGATTTTGCAGTTGATCTGAAAAAGAACAGTAATTTTTCATTCAAATTGTAATTATTGTTTTCTTTTTATGGGACGTTTCAGTCAAACGGGGCCAACGTATTCAAATTGATTCTGTATGGCTAAACCTAGAGGTGTTGTGCAAGACAACAAATAAATAAATAAATAAAAATGATGTCTTATATTTTTAGTGTAAACTGAATATATTGCAGGTCTAACCTAAGTGTCTCACATCAGGACCTAATTACAGTAGCTCACAGTAGTTTTTGCTAGCATGTTTTTTTATTTTTTTTATCTGTTTTATTTTTTCTTCACGCTTTGATTTTTTGCAGGTGTCAGCAACAGATCCAGATCAGGAAGCAGACCAGACTGCCCTTCGTTACTCCCTCCATGGCCAGGGTGCTGGTGGTGAGTTCACCATCGATGAACACTCTGGAAGAATCTACGCCCAGCGTCGCCTAGACCGTGAGGACCGCCCTGCCTGGAGATTCCTTGTCCTCGCCACAGACGAAGGAGGACTAGGACTTACAGGGTTTGCTGACGTGCTATTAGAAGTCAGAGACATCAACGATAATGGCCCCTTCTTTCCATGCCCTGCTCTGGAAGTGGAAGGATGCTTTGTTGGCCAAGTGCCTGAAAACTCACCTGCAGGCACCTCCATCATGGAGATGCGTGCTATGGACCTAGATGATCCCAATGAGGGCAGGAATGCTATGTTGACCTATAGCATCATCAAGAACATTCGCAATGAGATCAATCTCAATCTGTTTGCCATAAATGCTACCACAGGGACCATCTACACAGTTCTACGTTCACTGGACCGGGAGATGGAGGACAAGTATCTGGTGGTAGTGGAAGCCCGTGATGGAGGAGGTTTGTCAGGAACAGGGACAGCCACAATCAGGATTTCTGATGTAAATGATCATCCACCAATTTTTACGCAGAGAGCCTACTCCACTCAGGTGAGACAACCTGCCTCAAGACATGTCTTAGTTTCTTTCTAAATGAATGTAGCAGTAAATCATTTGCATTTATGTGCCCATCAGGTAACCGAGGACCTTGAAGTAAACAGTGAAGTTCTTGTGGTCTCTGCCACTGATGGAGATGAGGGCGAGAACGCCGTAGTTACCTTCAGTATTGTTGGTGGAGACGAGGACAGGAAGTTCTTTGTGGAGACAGATAAAGTGAATCGACGTGGCATGATAAAACTTAAGAAAAGGGTTGACTTTGAGAAACTCCATGAGCGCATTTTCAATCTGACCTTCAAGGCTGAAGATGCTGATTTTTTCAGCTTGGCCTACTGCCTCGTTCAGGTTGAAGATGCCAATGATCATGCTCCTGTCTTCTTCCCTCAGTTCTATGAGTCCACTGCCATGTCAGAAGATATCCCCATTGGGACAATTGTCACTCAGGTTACAGCATCTGATCTGGACTCAGGCCAAAATGGGCACTTTTCTTACAGCATTTCCAAAGAGTCAGACCCCTATAATCAGTTCCTGGTGGACCAGTCTGGTTGGGTGATAGTGGCTCATTCTCTGGACAGAGAGAAAATCTCCCAGCACAGGATCATAATCCTTGCAACAGACGCTGGTACTCCAACACTAACTGGAACTGCCATTGTTATGGTGACTGTGCTCGATGTTAATGATAATGGGCCAGAGTTTGAAGTTCCCTATAAGCCTGTTGTTTGGGAGAACGCTGCAGCACCCCAGGTGGTACGGATGAACGAAACCTCCCTGCTTCTGTATGCTACTGATCGTGACACCTCCACAAACAGTGGCCCATTCTCCATTCAGCTTCTCATGCTTACATCAGATGCCATCAATTTCAATTTGACCAACTTTCGGAATGGAAGCGCAGCCATCACCACCCTTCGTACCTTTGACCGAGAGCGGCAAAAGGAGTACCACCTTCCGATTCTCATGATTGATGGGGGCTCTCCTCCAATGAGTTCAACCAACACCCTTACAGTTGTCATTGGGGATAGGAATGACCATCCACACTTACCTGGACACACACACTTCATTGTCTACAGTTATGAAGGTATGTTTTCCTGTTTATTAGTACTGATTTAATATAGAAAATAAATAACTTATAAGCAACATTTAATGATCCTGCTCAGTTTATCTAGATGCTATTATTTTATTTTTTGAACACTCTGCAGTATTTTTTCAAAATATGCCAAGACTAGTTATTACAACGAAACTAGATGGCACTTAAATGTATGGCTTGAACTTGAATTAGCACTTTTTGTCCCATGCACACCAACTGGACACAGCATAATAAAACATCAACATAGTATTATCTAAATTAAACTCTGTCATGACATTTTGTCTCTTGAGTGCATGGAAATGGACCATTTTGTGATATTTTCTGATCTCTGGTATTGAAACACTGGCAAGAGATTCTTTGAGGATCTGTAAATAGTTTTTTGTTTAAAAAAATATTAGACAAGATTTCTCAAGTATATATTTGCACTTGGCCTTGTTTTGTGAGAAAGTTTGTATCTAATGCCAAAGTTGAACAGGAAAAGCTGTAGATGATTTGTCCAAATATTTTCTGAATGTATTTTAGTAAATAATTCAAAATATATCTTTTGTTTATTTTGCATTTGCTCTTTTGTTCTTTCTCACTTTAGTTTCTTGAACTGGCATTGCACAGTCCATATTTACTGCTGTGGGTCTAAGGTCATAAACCATAAAAGTGGAGGATTCAATTTGAATAATGGATTTTCCAAAGAGTACCACTTGGACTATTTTACCATTGTCTTTTGATACGGATATGCTTTCTCTGCAAGCAATTTCAGTAGAATGTGTTAATTTTGATTTTCCACATTAGATACATTAAAGACTCAAAGTGCAATTTTGAACTTTTTGTTTTAGCCCAATAGTTATGATCTGGCTTGTTTGCTCAAGGGCATCCTTGTGGTAGTTGTTGAAGAAGAAAACATTTGCCATACACTCATAATTGATCGTCCCACTTGGTCGACAGACTGGCATCTTTCTGGTCACAGACTGGCTCCTCTAATGTTCAGGTTAGCTAATGTTCCACCCACAGCCTCCTGAGCGTTCTGTGCTCATGTTGTTAGGACTGTACTCGTCACACTCGACTACTCACAGCCATCCGTTGCAGCCACATCACTTATTTAGTATTTCATACCATCTGTCAGCCTGCTGTAACTTGACAGAAAAACTAGAGTTTTTATGTGATGAATTTTTGGTGAATTCCCTCTCTTGGACATTTCTACATGAAAGTACATTAACCTGCTAATACAAATCCACCCCGTCCCTAGAAAACATGTCATGAAACAAAAAATTACTTCCAGCTTATGTCCCAGACTTTGACGGGCATGTAAACAGGGTGCGTTTCTAAAAAGGCAGCTTATTTCTTGGCTAAAGTGATTACAACACTGAGTTTTACTTTTTTTAGGAGAGCTGGTAAGTTATTCTGTATGCACATTTTCCTGATGTGCCTTCAAGCCAACACCAAAAAGACATCACCCTTTTAAGCCTCCATATTCTTCTTTTCAATCATAATATTTGGACCGTACCACAGGGATTCCTTTGTGCTCAAAACTAATTATACCTAGTGAATGCATTTTTGACTTTTTGTCTGTCTTTTACTTTTTACTTCTGACAGGTATTCTCCCGACGACAGTCCTCGGACAAATTCAATCCCCTGACCTTGATGACTGGAGTGAGAAAGTATACCAGTTCGAAGGCAAATCACCCAGGTACTTTGATCTTATCAGTGAGACTTTGACAAGGATTAAAGGTGACCTGCAAAAAGTGTGATGGTGGTGAAAGCTGAAATGGACAAGTCACAGTTGAGGATAACAAAAATAGATTTTAAGGGTTTGGCTTAACTTACCTTTTTTTATAGAACCCCATATTCAAGTATTGTTATTGCTCATTGCAGAAAAAGAAATATGGTCAATAATGTTCTTGCTGTTATGTGTGTGTGTTACCAAAATATCTCACAAATCACTGGAAAATGTTATTTCAACTAGCAGGAAGTTATTGTACATGCACCTCTGTAACTTGTTTCGTTTTGTAGTCAATCTGATTCAAAATAGCTGCCACCACTAATAACAGCCCCCACCCCCCATCCAAAAAAAACCCACAAAAATGACAATAACTTGTGTGAATTTCATAGATTATGATCGTGTGAAAGTACCGGACAGATATTCAGGGTGATAACACATTGTACCAGATCTTTCTTTAAAATTTTGGCAACACCTACTTAGTCAACTTGGTCTGTTAGCAAAATATCTCATGAACCACTTGATTGGTTTTAATAAAACCTTCTGATAATGATCACTGGAGGCACATCTATATCTGCTTAACTTTTGAAGTCAGTTATTTAAGATAGACATCACAACCGCATGACCTTGAAATTTGCATATATAGTTGTAATTTAGTCATTTTTATAGACTCTGTGGTAATTAGCAGCTTCACAACATATACTCAAAATTCTGCTCATTGCACAAGCTCTTTGCCTAAAAACAGCATTAACTGATGGAGTCAACCCTCTTTGTCTGTTGGCAAAATAGCTCATGAACCCATAGACAAATTTTTATAAAATTTTCATAAATTAATCACTAGATGTTTCTGAAGAACTGATTAACCTTTGGCCTCAACCCAGTTCAAGATGCCTACAAGTTAATCACATTAGCCAACACAAAAATGGCTATAACTCAGTCAATTTTGTTGGTATTAGCTAAAATGTAATGTGATGTTGATTGCGAATCATCTTGCAAAATTACATAAAAACATTCAAAACATTATTTTCAATGACAGACTAAAACTGCTACGAATCTGTGATTTCTTAAAATAAGATTATCCAAGTCTAAAACTATCTTTTTTTTTTCATTATGTGTCTGTGTTTATGTCTGTGATTTTGAACTCTGTAGAAAATACAGAGGGTTGAATGAAAGGATTTACAGACTGTCAAAACTGTCTTGTGTCGTGCTGAAATAAGCTGAAAAATCCTTGTAATTTTTGTTGTCACTTATGTAAAACTAAATTGTGAATTAGAAAAAAAAGATAAATTAAACAGTTTGGCAGCTCACATTTTGAAAATACAGAAGGGTAATGAAATCGGGCCAAAGAAACAGACACTTTGATGGCACAAACAAAGAATGTGGATGAAGAAGGATAGAGAGATGGAAAGGGGGATCTGACTTGTCAGGAGCAGTGCTATTAATACTTCATAACCAGCGGTATTGAAAATTCCCAGTGAAACGCAGCGAGGGCACACTCATTTCGTTTGATGAGGCAAGGCTTCATGCAGAAGCACTGAAAGGAAAGCCTGATTGCTCGCCCTGCCACCTTTTCTTCTAACGAGATACCCACAAGGAGAGACGACAAGAATCGGCCCGGAACAAAGGAAGCACCGGGAGAAAATGATCATCAACCCTTCTGAAACATCTCCCGTCATTTCTGCATCCAGCAGATAGCTATTTGTTCACAGAATGGATCAGATTTGTGCCGAAAATTATTCACATATAGAAAAGGTCAATTCCAGACAAAAAAAAGTGTAACGTGTCACTGGACAGAGAAACAATACAAACAGAATGGCTATTTTAAAACAGCTAAACATCAGCTCCCAGCCTAAAAAAATAAGGTTTTCAGCAACTTCTTTTTAAGAATTAACCCCCCTGCTGCACTTACGTGAAAAGACCCATGAGGGCTCAGTTTTAAGACGAGGGTCTTGTTCGTCATTTTGACCAAAGGGCAACAGGAGGCTTAAGGACCTAGCATTCCTTAAAGGGATACAAATCTCCCATTTTCCTTCATGTCAGAGTTATAGACTAAGATCATCTTCCATCCATCCATTCATCCATCCATTTATTATCTTCCACTTGTTCCGATGTCAGGTCCCAAGGGCAGCAGCTTGAGCAGGGAGGTCCAGACATCTCTTTCCACAGCCACCTCTTCCAGCTCTTCTGGGAGGACCCCAAGGCATTTTCAGGCCAAACAAGAGACATAGTCTCTCCAGCGTGTCCTGGGTCTTCCCTACGTTCTCTTCCCAGTCGGACATGCCCGAAACACTGTGAGGCACCCAGGTTGTATCCTTACCAGATGCCCGAACCACCTTAAGTGGACAAACAGCAGTTCTACTCCGAGTCTCTCCCAAATTACTGAACTTCTCACCTTATATCTAAGGGAAAGTCCAACTACCCTGCGAAGGAAACTCATTTCAACCATCTGTATCCGCAATCTCGTTCTTTCAGTCGCTACCCAGAGTTTGTGGCCATAGGTGAGGGTAGGAATGTAGACCGACTGGTAAACAGAGAGCTTCACCTTACAGCTCAGCTCTCTCTACACCACAACGGACCAGCACAGAGTCTGCAATACTGCAGACGCAGTACACATCTATCAATCTCATGCTCCATTCTTCCCTCACTCATGAACAAAACCCCGAGATACCTGAACTCCTCCAATTGAGGCAGAACCTCACCCTCAACCTGAAGAGAGCAATCCACCCTTTACCAACTGAGGACCATGGCCTCAGATTTGGAGGTGCTGATTCTCATCCCAGCTGCTTCACACTCGGCTGCGAACCGCTCCAGTGGGAGCTGAAGATCACGGCACGATGACGCCAACAGGACCACATCATCTGCAAAGAGCAGAGATGGAATCCTGAGACCACCGGATCAGATTCCCTCCGCCCCCCGGCTGCACTGAGAAATTCTTTCGATAAAAGTCATGAACAGGATCAGTGACAAGGGACAGCCCTGGCGGAGTCCAACTCCCACCCTGAAGGGGTCCGGCTTACTGTTGGCAATGCAAACCCACCAAGATCATCTTGTCTTGAGAAGTAATGAAGTTGTAGTCATTTTAGTCAAACCTTAAAAATGTCATAAATCTTGAAAGATATTTCTAGAGGTCACTCTCAGAGTGTTTGTTGGGAATAACTCCGATACTACCACGTGAAATTTTAGCTCCTTACCTCCTAAACTGTGTGATTTGTAGCCATTTTTGTGTTGGCACATTTTGATTAGCTGTGGCAGACATTTTTTATTTGAGTGAGTCCAAAGGTGTTTGTGCATATAATCTATAGTGCATATAATCTATACATTAAAACAGTGACATATAAATCCAGTTAATGGTTCGTGAGATGTTTTGTTTGACAAACAAGGTGGACTCTAGGTTTTAACTACATGTTTTGCATACTGCATACCAGGTGGAGCAGGTGTTGTGACTTTCACATCCAACTTTAGCACAATAGCTGTAAAACTGACTGAGTTTTATCCATTTCTGTGCTTGCTAAATTCAGTTAGCTGTGGTGGCCATCTTGAATTGAGTTGGCTCAAACAATTAAACAGTTGTAGACATAAATAAAATGATCTGTTTCTGAGAGTTTCATTAAAATTGGTCACTTGGTTCATGAGATATGTGAGTAATAGACAGAAACACAAACAAAACAAACATCGTCACTCTGCCTTTGCTTTTCAGCAGGCAAAGATTAAAAGCAAATTAATTTCTTAGGCAGCAGAACAAGTTTTGTCCTGCACTCTCCTTGGCTTCGACTCTGTAATGGGTAATTAGTCTGAGCTCTCGAGGTTGCGACTGTGTGAAGAGGGTAAACTGTTACACGACCCTTTGGCACGCAAACTGGACCAGCTCAGGAAGCCTCTCTGCAAAGCTGCAGGGAATGAAGTAGTGAATTTTTCCACATCAAGAACTGCAACAAATGATTCTCAGTACCGGTAGCTATGTTTACATGGACATCAGTAATCAGATTAAATGACCATTCGGAATAAAAAATGCATCATATAAACGCTCCATTCAGATTATTCTTTGTTGATTCAGCTCGATCCGAACAAATTTGTAATCCGAATGAGAGGGGTGTTTTATGCTGATTCATAATTTGATCGGTGTGCATGTAAACACTTACATTTTATTCTGACTGTGGAAAACTGACCTGACTGCGCATGTGCAACCACTTCACGTATTTCATCACGGAAGTAGAACTTCTTCTGTGTTTTTTAAGGAGAGTTCACCACTCTGCGCATGTCAGTACTTCTATTCAGAATAAAAGCCCGCTGCATGTAAATGCTTTTTGAGAACAGATTGTGACCATGTAAATGATACATTCAAATTATTTAATCTGAAAACATTTCAATCCGGTCAAGGAATTCTGCACATGCAAACATAGCTCGTATTAATGCATTATAACTTTTTAGAATATCCAATGAGTTACTTTCCTGTAAACAACTTTTAGTCATAAGGGGGAAAAATAATCCAATCTATGTGTCATCCTGTTAAGATTTTTCAGTTTGAACCAGAGCTCAGGTCAGCTCAGTGTCAGAGAAGGAACTCCTCCAGGCTCATATTACCTGCAGGTGCAGGTTTCAGATCACACCTGGCCAGATGTCACTTCTACCACTCAGGTAGACGTCACAGAGCTGCAGCAGGACGCCTTGCAGCAAGCTGCTTCCATTCGCCTGACAAGTGAGTATCACACTGAACATGGTCACTTGATTTTTCTTTTTTATTAACTCTGGGGAAAAACTAAAACCGTATTGACATCTCATTAAGAAAGATGTATATCTGCATGTAACAGTTGTCAGTGAGGCAAAGTGTTGCATATCCCAGAATACTTGTACTACAAAGTTCTAATTTATGGGTCGTCACCTGTCTCAGCTGTTAATAAAGCTATTAAACATAAGAATAAGAACCATTTCTCCTCCATTTTAGAGCTTCATCCTTCTATTCTTGGTGTTTTTCTGTTTTATTTGTCTTCAAATTGTTTTTAAAGATTTACAACATAAGAAAGTCAGTCTGTTTTCTTTCTCCTTCTCATCTAGACCTGACAGCGGAGGAGTTTTTTAGGCGCAGCCGTGTTGGTGAAGAGAGCCGATTCACCCTTCTCGGTCGGGCGTTGGCTGAAGTCCTGCAGACTTTGCCAGAGAAGGTTCACATCTTCTCTGTAGGCAACACTGGCCAGCAGAGCAGCAAAGGCCTAAAGGTTTGGTTTGCCGTGCACGGCTCACCGTACTACAAGGCAGAGAAACTACACGGCTATGTGGCGGCAAACAAAGACAAGGTACGGAGAGTTTCTTTTGTCCCCACTCCTCACTTTAAAAATACCTAAAATTATGTTTAACATCAACTATCAAGAATAAATTTAAACACCTAAAGTCTTGAAAACTGTCCAAACAATTGCAATTTTCATGTTTAAGACAAATATATATATATATATATATATATATAAATCCATGCATTGAGGTGAAAAACTGCTTTTATTTCTTATAAAATGTTAATTTATGTGCGTCAAAGAAAAAAGCAGATGCAAAATTGTTTAAGCTGAAAGTTGGTAAAACTGAGGAAGAGAAACAGATATGCAGAAATCAGTACTAACACATTAAACATACAGTGCAGAAGACTCCAGAGACAATCATGTGACCTAAAATCAATCATTACACACCCACTCACTCTCACATGCAGAGAAAAGGTTAAGAATGTTCATATTGAAGCATGTTGCTCCAGCCAGTGCTCACTTTTCACTTTTGCACATATACTCGTGCAGATTTTCTTGCAGATGATATTTAATGGATATTTAACATGCACTCCAAGGAGGAGACCTGCTGCTGATTTTGGATCAGTTCTTGAAAGGCAGCTGGTGATGTGAGACATTGAAGGACATGTTGGACATTGTTCCACTGAGCAAGAGCTCATTCAAATATCCAACTCTTGGCCGACTTACAGCTGACATTTTGTCTGTGAGACTAAAAGAGTACGACTGAAAGTACATCAGTATCAGAACTTTAAGCCAATGTAAAGGCACATTAAAATTTTTGATCAACAAAATTATGATACAATGGAATAAAAAGGTATAAAATGCATTCACAATAACAAAATAAATACCCAAGTATATTAGAGCTAGCATGGATCTTCATTGAAGTCCACATTGAATCTGACTGTGTGTCATATTTGTGACTTTTATTGTGAAATACGCTTTCATGCCACGTGTTCAAACGCTGAAGCAGCTCTAATGTGAGTTGATTTAAAGAACTAATATAATAATATTAATAATCTATGAAAACTTCTTAAAAAATAACTTGTAGAATAAATATTGAAGAAGAAAGGTGTGTCTTTGACTTTTAGAGCTGAGCAAATTACACATATTTGCAGAGACAGAAAAATTGTCAAAGACTAAAAATAAAGATAAGAGCAGAGAATCTGAATGAAAAGCAGGAAACTGATGATTCTGGCAACAGAGAGCGAGTGACAGCAAAAGATGAAATAACACAAACACTAAAGTGCATAAATAACATCAGAGCAGAAAAAACAGCAAATTCATAAATCTTTGATCCATTTGGAGAAGAACTGAAATGTTGGTATTCTCTGAAAACTCCTCATATTTAAAACAACGATGATGATCTTTGACACAATTGATCTCATTTAATTAGCCATATACCGTATTTTCCGCCATACACGTTGCACCGCCCTATAAGTCGCATCAGTCCAAATATGTCTAATAAAGTGGAAAAATAGTAGATCCATAAATAAGTCGCTTCACCGTATACATCACATCTATTATGCATCACCGCCGATGCGTCGCATTTGTTACGTGTCACCGCTGACAACCCAGAAATGTGGGCTGGAATTGTACCAAAAATCAATTGGCTGCCAAATGGCGGCCGCGGGAGCGTGCAAGGGAGAACTTTAACAAGAATTTAACAAGATTAACACTTAAAAACAATTGTTTGCTTGCTCGACATTATAGCAAAGGTGTGTCTCAGTTGAACTTTTACTTAATAAATGCACTTTAATGGTTAAATTAGCTGCATTTTGCCGGGACGGTGCTGCAAAATGAAGCTGATTTGACGTTTGCTCCAGGCGAGTTGAACAAAGGTGTTTGGCAAGCCAATTGTGCCACTTTTACCCATTACATGACACAACAGCATGCCATACACCTCGAGTGCCATCTAGCGGCTGAAAATGGTAGTGTTCAATATTTTCAGGCAGAATGAATGAAAATGGTCATCTCAGCCAAAAATTGGTTTATAAATATTAGAAAATAATCCATAAATACGTCGCTTCGGCGTATAAGTCGTAGGGCATGCAAGTTATGCAAAAAAAAAAAAAAGTGATTTATAGGCTGAAAAATATGGTACTGTTTAATAATTACCTTTTTCTAATGCTTTGTATAAGTTTTAAGAAACATAATGTTTTTTTATACAGTTTTTACAATCTAGCTCAGTCTGCCTACTTAGTGCTTTTTCAGCTATTCATGTACCAAAGCATTTAATCTCTCTGCCTCTGCTCTTTTATGGATTTTTAGATTGTCATGTTTGTTTGTTTTTTAATTCATAAACATAGTTTAGTGCTGTATTATTTTACCTAACCACACTTTGTTCATATACACGAAAATTATGTTCCAACTAACTGTGGTTAATTTGAGTCGTCATCATTTTTTCTTCTCCTGCTGAGCAGTTGGAGGCCATGTTGGGTGTGTCCATCTCCCAGGTGGGAGTTGATGACTGTCCGTACACAGACTGCAGTCAGTTCGGAGGCTGCAGCAGTGAGGTTTCATTCAGCCAGCTCCCCGTGGCGCTCAGCTCTGGTAACACCTCTCTGGTGTCGCTGTCGGCCTCTTCGACCGCACAATGCGGCTGCAGGGGGCGAGAAGCAATCCGCCTGCCCTGCTCCGCTTATCCCTTCAACCCCTGCCTCAACAGAGGCACCTGCCAGGACGGACCTCTGGGATACAGGCAAGTGCAAAAAGAGAGCACATAAAAATTTCTGTTCATGCTTTACATTCTAAATATTCACAGCACTAAAATGAATTGTATTAACGCTACAGCTCTGAAAATAAAAAAGCCAATCATCAACTCGTGAAGGAAATTCATTTTGTTGGTTTTATCCGTTAAAAATGTAACTGGATGTTGTTCGTAGACATAATTTACTAGAATTTGAAAAAGAAAAAGGATAAATATAGCTTTGAAGCCCGATGGCAATCAGTACACAGTTACACCTGAACTACAATTTATAGGCTTCCTAAGAATTGACTTAATAAACTGACAACTAGTGATGTGTCCTTCTGGGTCAGGGCTGCGAAGTGTGTGTCGAGTAATCCAGGAGGATTTATGCGGAGCGTTTATTGATGACACATGTGATGTTTGAGGCCTGGCTAGCGGGCCGTAACCACGTGACGATTCAGGAACTGGCTCGTTTGTATGCGCGAGATTTGAAATATAAGGGGCACACAGAAAAATCCATAATCATCATAAAGACAGATTAAGATAATTTTCAGATCAAATTCAGACTTTATTTGAGGTCCTCGTGATTTTTTTTTTTTTCTTTTATTCAACTTAAAGCTTCACAAACAATAGCTGCCCACTGCACCACCTGGTGGTGGATGGGTTAAATGCAGAGACTAATTTCGCCATTGTATGGAAACATACAGTGCTGACATTGTGATGACATTATTATTATTATTATATTATAATCCATCTACCTGTTTTACATTTATAGTCCACTTGATGGCGCAGTAGAGCGAGTGAAGCACCATGGCGCCGTCGGATCATGAGTCATTTGATGGAACGCCTCAGTGCTTCATGGCGCTTCATCTCGCCATCACTACTGAAAACTGTTGCGATCTGATGGTTAGCTGTCAAACCCAAGTGCAGGCATACCATGGAGACTCAGAGATTTACAAAAAAAAGGAGAATTTATTAAGAAAACCAAAAGGCTGACATGGCAGCAAATTTACATAAAACGCTGGGGACACAGAGGGAGCCGGGACGTGGAGCTTGACAGGAAAATGCTCAGAAAATGAGGAACACGGCGACGCAGACTTAAATAGGGACGTTAATGACAGACGAGTGACAACACCTGGGAAGGACAAGTGGTGGAGGTAAGAGCTGCTTACATGAGGGAAATAACTGCGGAGCAGGAACAAACACAAGATGGAGACAAACACAAGGGATCCTCACAGAAACAATCATTCACGATGAGCTTTATCATACGTTTAAAATATGTCCTCGCTTTTTATTTTGCTAAGCTTTAGATGGATATTCTGGCTTGTGAAGTGTTTACTGTCAGCATTCTCTTCTCTTTGAAACATTATTATAACACGAACAGTTATTTGTTTGTTTTTTGTGAAACCCTCCTGAAAGTTTCCGTCCCCGGCAGCTAACTTGGTCCCAAACTCGTTCTATTCTCTATTTGAAACTGTCGGAAATTTCCCCCATTTGCTGGCTGAATAACTCAAATGAAATCTGCCAAACATTTTAAAGATTTAATGTTCGACTCTGTGGATTCCAGCTGCAGCGATAAAAGTTTGAAGCCTCGGTTTTAGCTGCGCGCAGAGAAGCTGACGTAGAAACTGTCACACAGCTTCTCCGTTGGTTTGGATACGAGACGAAACGTTTCAGCTGCCACGTCTCAACGGCTTCTGAACACTTTCTGAGAAAGTGTTATACTTTTAAGTTGCTTTTAATTAAACTCAGTTTTATTCTTTGGTTTCTTACAGTTACTTCATGCGACTGTTTTTGTTAAGATGAACAAGTTTAAAAGGAAATCAGCTGGGCGATAGAAATGACCATTTTTACAACTTTGTCACCAAGATCATCCATCCATCCATCCATTTTCTTTACCCGCTTATTCCATTTTGGGTCACGGGGGTCGCTGGTGCCCATGTCCAGCAATCACTGTGCGAGGGGCGGGGTACACCCTGGACAGGTCGCAAGTCCATCACAGGGCCACATAGAGACAAACGAGACAAACAACCATTCACTCTCTCACTCACACCTAGGGACAATTTAGAGTTACCAATCAGCCTAACATGCATGTTTTTGGTCTGTGGGAGGAAACCGGAGTACCCGGAGAAAACCCACGCATGCACGGAGAGAACATGCAAACTCCACCCAGAAGGCACCTGGACCGGGGTTTGAACCAAGGACCTGCTCGCTGAGAGGCAGCAGCTCTACCAGTTGCGCCACCGTGCTGCCTCACCAAGATCATATTTTCCATATTTTGTTTGAGAAACATGTGATGTGAATAACAAACAGTAGACCTTTGTTAAAAGTTAGCCACACACTTTTTTTTTTTTTTTACTTAAATTTACTTTTTTTGAAGATAACTTAAGATAAAAGGCAATTGTGGTCACTTGTAAACATAAAGCACTGAGAACGTACATATAATTGTATAACATTTATTAAAAATGAATACAAATTGGAGACTTTAAATGCTCATTTGGAACAGAAAAGTTTAAACTCAACACGCAGAACAAACGTGCGTGGCTGAAAGTGTAAAATGTGCTCTTTTGGTCCCTCAGATGTAAGTGTCCTCCCATGTTTGACGGCCCCGAGTGCCAGCAGACCAAGCACAGCTTCGGTGGTCAGGGTTACGCCTGGTTCCCACCCATCAAGCCCTGCTTTCAGAGCCACATCTCCATCGAGTTTCTGGCCGAGTCCGTCAACGGGCTGCTCCTCTACAACGGGCCGCTGGGGCTCGTCCACTCTGGGGAGAAGGAAGACTTCATCGCTGTCGGTGAGTTTATGGACAAACTTTTCAGTCATTGAGATGTTAATAATTCAAAGCCAATAGGACATACATAAAACAATTTAATGAAATTATTAAAATTGTCAATAAAATCTGGTCAATTAAATATATTAAAGGTTCCTTTATGGTGTTTTTCCAGTACCCAAAAACAATAATATACCCTTAATGTGTATGTTTTAATTATTGGTACAATTTACACTTTTTTTCTTGTTTTATTCATGTTTACGTGCTGTGTTCTGTTTCAGCCTTCACATAACCAAATGTTTAGCTCGTTCAGAAGATGTGAGCAATGACTTTTTTGTTTTGTTGTCATTTTTTTATATTTTTCAAAATATTTACCTTGCCTATCCCTTTACAAATATTTTCCCCATAGAATTACAATGAGATCTTTTCAGTTGTTTTTTTTTTTTAAACAATTATTGATTTATTTAATTTTTCAATCTTCTTTTAGTTTTAACTACGGTATTATTTTTCTACTTTTAGCCTTTATCTTTCATTTGAATACTAATTTTACTACTTTAATTAACCTTTTATTATGTTTAGCGTTTAGCTATCATTTCAATATGACTTATTGGTATTGTTATTGGTAACAGCTGCTGCTTTTAAATGTGCTCAATAAATTTGACTTGATATTTAGTTTGCTGATTTAAATAGTTCTTTTCGACTTTGAGCTTATAGCTTTTTGCTACTTTTAGCTTTTAGACAGCCTATTGTTACTTTTGGATTTCAAATTGCGTTTTCCTACTTTTAATTAGCATTTTTCTACCTTTACTCTTTAGCTTCTAGCTTTTAGCTAGCGTTTTGTTCATTTTAGTTTTGGGTTGGTGATGCAATCAAATCAGTCTCAGCTCCTTTGGCGAAGTCATTCAGCACTCAGCATTCACGCAACATATTTTCGAGTTCACTCAGGAACTATTTTCCCTCTAAAAACAAAGATATTAAACTAAATAATAGTACATGCAGGAAGTAAATTGCCTTATTTAAAATGACACTTTCAGCTGCTCTGTGATTAAACATTTTTGAAGGTTAGATTTTATTTCTAATGCTTTTTTCATTTGTTTCTTATGATTTTTTTCCCCATTGTTTTATCAAAATAAGGAGTCATGGGTTCTATTTTTGAGTTAGAACAGCAGCATGAAAGTGTCCAAAAGCTCAAACCCTGCTGTTTGAACTGACCAATAGAAATTCACTCAGACTTAGATCATCTGTTCCCACCTCCTCTCTGTGAGCAGTTTAGGTGGTTGTGGGTGTGGATGTCCCATTGCTGAGACTTCTTTTTTTTTACTTTCTTTGATTTAACTTCTAAGCTTTTTTTGAGACAAACTAATCCCACCCTCACAGTGGGAAATCTTCAGCAGCTTGTTGTTTTCACCAAACATGAAGCGTTCATCAACGCTCTGCTGTAAAGACACTTTTTGTCAGCGGTGGAAACGCTTCATAAACTCTAATGTCAGCTCCCGGCGGTTCTGACGTGGTGTTAATGGATTAGCCTGCCAATGGCCTCTCAAAAGCCTCTTGCATAATCTTGTGGCATTAAAGTTTTGTAATTATTGAACCCGGGTTGTTGCTGCGTGCGTCCAGGGAAAAGAAAATCAAATATAACACCGTTGATGTTTCTAAAACGTTTTTCACTTACATGTCCAATACTATGACTGTGAGCTTGATGAGGTCATACACACACACACATAAGTGGACACAATCTAGAGACAGCAGGTGAAAAGATGTTCATGGATTCACACCCGTTGATGAAGGGCATTGCTGTACTTCCTGATTAGATTCAGCAGTTTCACAATGATGCAAAGAAATGACGTGGCAGACACAAATTCTGTCTCTAAAGTTAGATTTTCTTTTTTCCTCAATCATTTTTCTCCGTGCAGAGTTGAGGAACGGGGTTCCAGTTCTGAGTATAAATCATGGATCAGGAACACTGACCCTTCAGCTCACACCTAAAACCACCATCAATGACCGACGCTGGCATCGACTCGACATAATCAGTGATGGAAAGGTAAAACAGAGCGACCAATCAGTGATCCAGGATTAATAAACGAGCAGGAAAAACCCACCCAAATCCATTATGGGTTCTGCTCAATGTTTGTGTGTACATGCATTATATAAATTAGAGCCTGACCGATGTGGCAATTTTGGCTATCGTCAATACTGATATTGGAATGGAAATGCTAATGCCGATATAATGGCTGCAAATCTTTACACTTTGTCCCCAAGATACTATTTTTAAACTTGTTTTAACATTTGAAGTCTTGAAACAGTCTTCCATTATTCACCATAAAGTTAAGTGAGTTACAAAAATATAAATTAAACAAAGTAAAGCCATTCCTTGTTCACTGTTTAACCCGTCAGTCATATGGTGAAGGCCTAATTAGGACCGACTGCAGCTGAGTTTCTTATTTTTCTTTGTAGATAAGTAAAAATTTCAGACAAACAATGCATTTCATTGAAGACGACAAAGAAAACGTTACTAACAATGATTAATTTTACCTCTATGTTAGATTTATTGTTCTGGCTAAAGTTTTACAAGGCAATAGCCTATGCTAGGTTATCTAAATGTTAGCTTGCTAACTTGAAAGGCACTTAGCTAATAACGAGCGAGTTGGAAGACTGAAAATAATTTATCATTGCTGATTCTTTTTCAATGTACAGATCCGTTACAATACACTTTCCATGCTCCGTTCAGTAAAATACGCCACATGGTATTGTTCCCTGCTTCGGCTATGCTGAAAGTGAAAGTTAAAGTTAAAGTGAACGGCCATGATTTGAAAGTAGTCTGCATGCGCCCTCTGGTGGATATTGGATAATTACACCTTTTGCCTGTAAGGACACAATTTGTTCCCAGTGTTTATATTGGTTTATAATTGGATAATTATCACAGATGTCCCCAAACGTCTATATCGGCCTTACCGATATATTGGTCGGGCTCTATTATATATTGCTAAATATCTCATTCTTCAACCTTTTTTTATGATTTAATGATAAAAAAAATAAAACCAGTGTTAGTTATAATACATTTTTATATTATCTGATTGTAAATAAGTATTCTGCTTGGGTTCAGGTTGTCCAGCTGGTCCTGGATCAGTGTGGAGGGGTGGCAGCGAATGAGTTGGAAGGTGTTGGGGGCGAGCTCAGAGAGATGGATGAATCTGGCTGCAGAGCTGCAGGAGAGACACCTGGGAAGCAGAGGTATGAACAGATGTTAGTCACTGTGTACTTTGATGGTAAAATTAAAATTAAATCCTCAACCTTGTTGTGTGAATGATGATCTTTTGTCACCTTTGTTTTTTCTGTATGCTTTTGCAATTCAAACATCAAATTGTTCAGCTCATTCAGGAGATGGGTGTTATGACTTGATTTTGGTTATGTAGCTTCTATATTTTTCACAATATTTAACCTTATGTACAAATATTTCCTCATAGTAATGAATTATCTCTTCAGTTCCTTCAAGTTATTTGTTTTTGTTTGAAATCTGCTTCAGCGTACTTGCTGAGGCAGCACAACATATTGTCATGTTATGCTACTTTTTAGCTCGCCTTTTGCTACCTTTAGCATCTAACTACCTTTTTGCTACTTTTAGCATCTAACAACCTTTTTGCTACTTTTAGCTAACCTTTTGTTACATTCGTTTTCAGCTACCCATTAATTTTAGTTATAGTTAGCATAGGTTAGTGCCTTTAGCTGGTGTTTTGCTACTATTAGCTCTTAGGTAGTATTTTTTGCCATTTTTGGCATTTCACTAGCATTTTGCTCCTTTTTAGCTGGAGCAAATTTCAGCAGTCATTCAGCGCTCAGCATTCAAGCTGCGTTTTTGCAGAAAATGTTTCATTAGTTTGACTTATGACTTTATTCCTCTCATTTTTCTCCCTGATCCACATTTTTATTTTTTGCTTCATCCATCCCCCTTTTCCTTTTTCCTCTTATTACATTGTTTTTCTTCCTGCTTCCCCCTCTCACTCTTTTAGGTATTTAAATGTATTCCAGCCTCTTCAGCTGGGAGGAGTGAAGGAGCTGACTCCTTACAGACGTTATCGAAGTTTCACCGGATGCATCCGTAACCTTGTGGTTGACAGTCAGGTAACAATGTTTGTGTTTGATTATGCATGCTTTAAAATGTATTATGTGCAGAAATAAACATGTTTGTGCTGAGCAGACCTGCCTTATCAGTGTATCTCATTTAGTTTAATTCTTTAATGACTTCGGTTTTCATTGGAAATTAGGCGTTGGGAGAGAAGTGATTGTCTCCTCGATATGAACTCCATATCAACTGATGTGAATAAAACTCAACTTTTTGTATGTTCACATCCCAGAAATCATTAGCATTTCCTATGTGTGTGTTCCCTGCCTTAAAATTCAGTTTGTGTCTATAGGGCTGCATGTATCTGTTTGTACATGCATGAATTCACTTCTTGGTAGGTAGTTTCTCTTTGGTGTGGATCATTAGTGTGTGTGTGCTCCCGTGCAGCGAGGGGGTGATGGTCGAACAGATGGCGAGCTACGCTCGGCTCATCAGCCAAGGCCAATATAACAACATCACAGTCCAAGATGTAAAATAAATGGAAAGAATCTCCCTCTTCCGCCTCATTCTCCAGAAACTCAGCAAGATGCTGTGGTTCCTCTGCTGCTGAGTGAAAACTTCAACAACCTCCCAGAGATCTCTAAATATTCCCCAGGAAAGACTCCAGACTGCATTAAAGATGAGAAAATGTGGAGGTTTACTTTGTTAGCATTGGCACAACGCTGCAAGTGCTGTTCCGCTGTTCCTCCTGTGCTTTAAGTTTCTTCTCTCCTGAAGAGGTTTTTTTATGGTTTTGTTATTTTTGGAACATAATCAAAACTCAAATCAGCAGAGAGACAGTAATACAGATGTTACAACTAGAAAAAGTTTTTCCTGCAAAGCAAAGATGACAAAAAGGAAGCTGAGGAGGACCTTTACTAAATTCCTTGACTAATGCTAAAAGATGCTTCATTGATAAATGTTTGGCGTTATAGTCTTGTTAACTTTTCATTTTTGTTTTTAGATAAAAATAATAATTACTATATTTTGTTTTGCTAAAAAAAAAATAGGACCATTCAAGTGTGATATCTAAAAATGTGCAAACCCTTATACTTATAACATGTAAAACAGTAAATATTAGTATTATATTACTATTATCTTCTATTATATAACAGTAAATTAATGTTTAAAAAATCCACAGCTTAAATATAATAGAACTAAAACAGAAAATGTTTAATACATGCCCAAGAGCACTAAGCTAAATATGATCTTTTTTTTTTTTAATTCCCTTCAAATATTGCTTTATCGTGTCCAAGAGTGAGCGGGCAACCAGAATCCATCCAGCGAGCAAAATTCAGTGTCTTTAATTAAAGGTCACAGATGATAAATGAATGGGTGTTCTCATAAATGTGATTCAAATTGTCTGATTAAAATTTAATCGGACATGTCAGCTGATAAAACAGATCCAAGGCCTTGTTTTACTTTCAGACTGAGGACTTTTGTATGCAGATATTAAGATCCCTTGCAACGTCAACCCAAACACATATTACGTACACTAAGAGATTGCATGATGTTTTAATTGTGCCATTAAAGGATGCAGCAGTTTGCATTCATCCAAAAATTCCCCATTCCAAAGGACCTGTTTAGGACTTGTACTCACTGTTGGAAGATGACTGAATTTTACAGGTAATACTCCTTAAAAATCACTAAAGAGAAAATATGTGGTTATCACTTTTAGTTTGAGGTGATTCCTAAATTTCTTTGGTGCACAAAAGGAAATACTGTGAAATTATTGACAAACATATTTTATTGGGTTAAAATCAGATGAAAAAGCAAAGCTATTTTTAAAAATGTCCGCCTAACGTGTGCATCTTTGCTGTGTAATCAAAATTGATTTCCCAAATTAACTCGTAAGAATTGAACACACATTTTTGTGTTAGCGTGACTGACACGCCGCAGAATGCATCCGCAGTACGCCTGCCAACTGAAACAATGGGATTGTGTTGAAATTTAGTGCATGTCAAATCAAATCTTATTGCCTTTGGGACTCAAGGGATGAAAACAGCAGAATTAAAAGAAAGAAACTCCATAACTCCAATCTCGTGGTGGCAATGAACACAGCCTGGAACAGTGGAACCAGCACAGTTCTATTTTTCATTAAATGGGAAGGAAGTTTACAGATAAAATATAGAAAAACTATTTACCCATAAAGTTAAGTCAGGTCCTCTGGACGTTTCTTTTTTTTTTTTTTTTTTTTTAAATGTTTCATCCTTCATCCAAAGGACTTCATCAGTCTGAGTAGCCACAACAAACTCAGTCCCACAAGCAGTGCGCTCACAAAGTGGGGCCAACCAGTTTGATGGTGATAAGATGGTTTCTGGAGTCCGCCCTCTCCCCCGTCGACTCCTGAGGCAGCCATGACCAAATTGGCTTCCCCTCAAATTTACCACCTTTGCTGGCCCCCCTCATTTTGCCCCACCCCCTCCCGGTGCAGTAACCTAAGTAGATGTGAAGGCGCCAGTGGCTGCGTCGCTCACTTGGGTGGCCTGTGCTGGGACCCCTACCCTCACCCACTCCACGTGCATAAGTCTTTACCAGTATGTTGCTTTTTCTTGTGCTGAAGTTTTCTTTTTTGCAACCTCACACTGTGTTCCATAAAGGACACGGTGTGAAATGTATTTTTTTTTAACTTACTGGTACTTTTTCCTCATGTTTTCTCTTTTGCTTGTCTAAATGAAAGGGCAGCGCTTCCCACGAGGCTGCGGCCTCAGACATCGCCGTCTACCCCGGTTTCTCTTTGGACAGCTGTCTGAAATGTAATTTTGTTGTGCTTTTGTGCAATGACAATAAATCTGCTTCTGATTCTGAAAACATCAAAGTTCATGCTCAATAATCCAGGTAAAAAAATCCAACAAAGTCAAGGCAGGTCCTCTGAACAGTTTCTTTTTTGTTGAAACGTTTCATCCTTCATCCAAAGAACTTCATCAGTCCGAGAAGCCACAACAAACTCAGTGACTGAACTTTGACTTTGACCTGGATTATTGAGCATGAACTTTGGTGTTTTGAAAACCCTCAGGAGTCGATGGGGGAGTGGGCGAACTCCAGAAATAATCTCATCACCATCAAACTGGTTGGCCCACTATGTTTAATTCAATTCAATTTAATTCAGTTCAATTCAGTTCCGTTTATTTATACAGCGCCAAGTCACAACAGAAGTCGTCTCAGGGCACTGAACAGAGACATTCATACATAAAAATAATAATCTAACATTATTTATCTGAGGAGCAGACTGCTTTGAGTTTAACTCCATCACAGAACTCTCATCTTGAGCATGAAGGCGACAGTGGAAAGAAAAAACTCCCTCATGAGGAAGAAACTTTTAGCAGAACCAGGCTCAGGACAAGCGACCATCTGCTTCGACTGGCTGGGTTTGAGAGGAACAGGAAGAAAGAACAGATACACAATGGCAGGTCCAGAATCACATGTTAAGATAGAAAAAGTATCAAATGAAAACTATTCAATTTTAACAGTTCTTTTAAGGAAATGTATGAGTGTGCTGCTTATGGGACTGAGTTTGTTGTGGCTCCTCGGACTGATGAAGTCCTTTGAATGAAGGACGAAACGTCTCAACACAAAATAATCCGTCCAGAGGACCTGCCTTAACTTTGTTGGATTTTTTTACCTGGATTATTAAACATGAACTTTGATATTTACTCATAGATGTCCTGATGCTGCTCAGTAATCCAGGTAGATCATTCTAACAAGGGTAAGTCAGGTCCTCTGGACAGGTTCTTCTTTGTTGAAACATTTTGTCTTTTATCCAAAAGACTTCAGTCTGAGTTCTTCAGTCTTTTGGATAAAAGACAAAACGTTTCAATAGACGAATCAGTCCAGAGGACCTGACTTAACCTTGTTCGATATTCACCCATAGAGTTTTGTTAGGAAGAGTAAGTCACTGTTTTACCTTCTCCCCTCTGTGTGCCTCAGGTGTATGATCTGGCCTCTCCGGGTGAAAGTGTTGACAGCGCGCCAGGCTGCAGGCTCACTGATGGCGTGTGTGTGACGGCGGCCGGTCCTTCGTGTGGCGTTCACTCCTCCTGCCTCGCCGACTGGGGCTCCTTCAGCTGTGAGTGCCATCCAGGGTACACCGGACACAAGTGTGACAGAGGTGAGAAACGGTAAATCCTTTCCCTTAAAAGAAGAAAACCTGGGTTTAATCTCCATCTCCTCCTCACCTTTAAGCTGTACCGGAGTCCTCGTTCGACGCGAACAGCGTGATGCGTTTTCAGCTCAGAGGAGGCGGCAGCTCCCGACGCACCAGCGTCCAGCTTCTCCTCCGCACCAGGGCCACATCAGGAACTCTGCTGTCAATGGCGTCGCGGGACGCCAACGAGTACATCATCCTGGAGGTCAGTCCACATCTGGAACCAGTTTCACTGACCTCTCATGCAGCTTCTTAACGCCTCCCATTTTTAATTTTCACATTTTACAAACTGAGGTCTGAGTGATTTTTTTATTTTATTTGTCAGATCGTTGAGGGTCACGTCTCGGTACAAGCCAACCTGGGGGACGGTCCTCACTCTCTCAAGCTCTCCGGTCACCGGGTGGATGTTGGACAGTGGCTCTTGATCAGCCTCAGTCGCCATGACAACACCTTCACCCTGCGACTTGAACAAGGAGGGGGCTCCCGGGAGGTTCAGGCTCGGCTGGGGTTCCACAGGGAGCTCGTGGTCCATCCAGCAAGTCTGACGATCGGAAACGGACCAAACTCTGGAGACAAGGCTGACTTTCTGGGTAAGAGCTGGATCTCTTTCAGCTCCTTCTTTCAAAAGGTTTTTGTTTCTGCAAGAATGTTTTAAACAGACTAAAAACTCACTAAAAACTGTGATATGCAAAGGTAGCAAAACTAGTTAAATTCATTAAAGAGGCATACGGTTTCTAAAAGTGGCTCAAGAATACAAAAGTAAAGAAAAATGTCGAAGAAACTGAATCGATGTTAATGTAACTTTTTTTGAAACAAGGTTTAATATTGTGAAAAGTATAACAGAAAAATTGATGTGAAAAATTAAAATAACACAAAGTAGTAGTTTGACTACAAATAAAACAGAAGACGCTAATAAAAAGGAAAACAATTGCACAAATGCTGACTCGGCATTTACACAGTCGTGGTTTGTTCTCATGCAGGCTGTCTGCGCGACGTTCGTTTTAACGGTCATGTCCTTCCTCTGGACGGCCAGAGTCGGGACTTAGTAATGGTTCTAGAGAGACGAGGCGTCACGGCTGGCTGCTCCAGCGACGCCTGCAGCAGCCAGCCGTGCCGCAGCCCACTGCGCTGCATCGACCTGTGGAGGAAACACCAGTGCAGGTAAACAAATACAAACCAACTCAACTTCGATTCATTCACACCGATTCAAGATTATTTCTAATATTTGAGAATTGTCATGCTGTTAACTCATCTTGTCATCTCTCCTGATCTCCATCCTGTCCCAGGTGTCCCGGTGCTCAGGTGACAGTGACGGATGACTCCGGACAGCAGCATTGTGTTGCATCGCCCTGCGGACCTTCCTCTTGCCGTAATGGCGGCTTATGCCAGGCCCTGTCTCCTGACAGTTACCAGTGTCGATGTCAGGAGGGTTTCAGGGGTCAGCGCTGTGAGCTCGGACAGGTCAAAGGTCACCGGCTAGCTGCTCTCAGTCCCAGCTCCATCCTCGCCATCAGCATGTGTCTGCTTATCTTCATTGGTAAGGCTGAAGAAAACCGATGTGAATTTTGGAAGACCAAAGTGAAGTTAACCTTTACTGAACTTTTCTGTCACTCAGACAAATTACACAATTTACTTATTTAATAAGTTCATTAGATCTTTAAAAAGATGTAATGTGATGTTTCAAGAGAGAAACTGATGCATTATAAAAGTCATTCTGAACTATCCATGACATCAAGTGTCTACGACTGATTAGCATAAAATATCCTGATGCATGCTCAATAATCCAGGTAGAATAATCTAAAAAAGCATAAACATAACATAAGCTTAAGTGTTTGACAAGCAAAGACAAAGAAAAATAAAATTAAGGCTTTGTACTCACAGGCATGCTCTCAATTTAACCATCTCCTCAGAGACCCTTTAGTTTTAATGTGTAACAGTTTGCTGATGAATAGTTGTTGTTTTCCATGAGATCAAACGCGAATAGAGAGTTTTAACTGGGGAAACTAAGATCAGTAAAAATTTACATACTGTGTTTTTTGGATTATAAGGCACATTAAGCGAAACAAAAACAGTCAGATAAGTCAAACTTTATTCAACTCATTCACAGTAACTCCCAACATTGTTCAGTTGTACCACAAAATCAGTTCAAGGTCGGTGAGCACAATCAGAATATATAAGGCTCACTGTTGATTTTTGAGAAAATTAAAAATTTTAAGCGTGCCTTATAGTCTGAAAAATACGGTATTTTGTCCATTTATACGAACCATTTGACTTCTTCAGCTTCAAAGGTGTAGTAAAATCAGGTTTAGTGTTCCTTCACTTCTAGGCGTCATTACATATAACTGTACTCTAAAAAATGTTGATTTCATTTTGCTTCTACTTCCAGACTTACAGCACTGAAAACTGCAGTGTAGATGTTGATACTCTTGTTTTCAGCTATGTATCTTTATACTACTGCTTCATAATGAACATATTTATGATTTATAGGGGAAAAAATGGTCCACATAACAATTTTCTGTTGCATTTCTTGTGTTTATGTAACCCATGTGCAGGCAGGACTCGGAGAACTCAGGATTTAAAGTAGAATATATATATTTAATAAGGGAAAAGCTGATGTGCAGCAAACTTGCATGATCTCAGGGATGACACGGAGGAAGACAGAAGTATAACGTCATACAAGACAATGCCCAGAACACAGAGACACAGACTTAAATACAGACGCTAACGAATAGAGAATGACAAACACCTGGAGTAGGAGAACAGGTGGCGGAGGCAGGCGCTGATTACACGAGGGAGGCTCACACTAGAAAACACAAATCCTCACATTTTCAATGTCCCCGTCGGAAAATTATTGCCTGATCTGGAAAAGTAAAAACACAAAATGATGATACAAAGTATTGTCCTCCCTGCTGTGTGTGTGTGTGTAGTTGTGTTAGTGGCTGTGACCGTTTGGAACCAGAAAGGCAGCAGAAACAAGTTCAGGAAACGAGGAGTTTATCACATTCCCGCTGAACACGAGAGCTGGGAGGACATCCGAGAAAACATCCTCAACTACAACGAGGAGGGAGGAGGAGAGCAGGATCAGGTACACAAACACACACATAGACACAAATAACTTTTGTAGTGACTGACTTGGAATTTGTTGTAAAATTTGACCAAAGAACAATGCCATGTCCAAGATCCACTGATCCGACACCAATACCTTTAAAATAACACAAACCCAACCCAAATGTTTACCTATAAACAGCGTTTAGCACATTTTAAATCACCTTCTCTGTAACATCAGTGTCCAGGAGACAGACTAAAAAGTATTAAGGAAACTATGGTATTGATAAAATACTTGGCTGAATAAAAGACAAAGCTCCAACTAATTTTGGAAGATGCATCATGCATCACAATAAATGTTGTAGCTCCCTGGGGGGGAAAAAAAATAATAATTTCAGACAAGTAAAATATTCATGATGACTGATTCTGTCACAAATTATGCCTTTGCATGTAGACGTCATAAATAATACATGCTTTAAAACGTAGACTGCCGCTTTATTTGCATTACATTTTATAGAAATATGTTAATGTAGCAGTCACATCACTGCAAACATTTAACTGTACTAGTGAGCAAAGTCAATGATAATACATCGATTTTCATTATTTAACTGTTGTGCATAAAATATTGGAATAAATTGGCCCAATTAGGCTCGGTCCACTTGTAGGTGCTTCGGCTGATCTTCACATTTACCAATTCCGACTTCTTACATTTTTGCTGTTCAGTTTGTAAATTTCACACAGCTTCTGTTGATTTATATGAAACAGCAGTCAGATCCTAGAAGAAAAAAAAGAGATACAGAGACATTGTGTTTTATTCAAAAATACCACGAGAAAGCTCGAACTGCTGAATGACTTTAAAGAAACTTGTTAAAGAAGCTAAAACAGGGGTATCCAACTGACGGCCCACGGGCCACTTCCGGCCCACGGGTGACTTCAGTCCGGCCCACCAATGAGTTCTTTTTTTTTTTTTTAATGGTGGGTCAGGGTTTGGGTTTTGAGTTTGGTTTTTTTTTTTTGTTTTGTTTGTTTGTTTTGTTTTTGTTTTTTTTTTTTGTGATGGCCTCCCTTCTCCCCTTACAGCCATCCTCTCCACAACATTATTATGAAATATTTATTATAGTGACTATCTAGTGTAGGTTTTTTTTTTTTTTAATAGGATAGAAAGAAAGAAAAGACAAAGTAAGACTCCAAAATATAAGAATTATATACAAATAGAGCACATGTCAAAACACCCGGCCACTGTCTGTTCACCTGCAAAGAACATGACAAAACACAGCAACAAAATACATATGTATAAAGAACTTAAAATATTCATGGCTTTGCAGTAGGTTTTTGTTTGTTGCATTATTGCATTTATGAGTCAATGCAACAAAATAAAAAAAATAAATGGTAAATAGATTATTGTACCTGATTTATTTACATAATGACTTTAATTGCTGGATGTCCGGCCCCTGCAGGCTTTCAGTAACTGTGGCCCCCTGGGAAGGTTTAGCTGAATAGCCCTGAGCTAAAAGAACACAAACTAAAAGCTAAAAGGACAAAATGCTAACTAAAAGCTGAAATGAGCAAAGAGAAAACTAAAAGTAGAAACAAATGGCACGTGTGTTTTTATTGAGTGAGTTGTTCTTTGTTTCCTCCATCCCTTCAGAATGGTTATGACATCACAGAGCTCAAGCGTCCACTGTGCTCCAGTCTGTCCCAGTCGTCCTCCTGCACCACAGCCCCGCTCATCAAGTCCTCCCCGGGCTCCCAGGAGGAAGTCCATCCATCCAGTTCCTCCTGCAGCTCAGGCGCTCCATACCTCAGCATCCCACATCACCACCACCACCAGCAGCACGCAGTCAATGCTGGCTACAACAGCGACGCCACCTACGCCAGCTTCACGTCTCACAGGGGCAGAGACACGGAGACGAATGACGCGGGCAGTTGCGTCGAGGCCCCGTCTGCGTCGCGCTCCCATGTGGACTTTAAAAGCTACGTGGCGCGGATAGTTTGGGAGGCAGACAATGACTGCGACGCTTTCCCACCCGACGCTTACCACGTCTGGTGTGTGGAAGGTTCAGGGTCCTCAGCAGGAAGCCTCAGCTCTTTGGGCTCCGCGGTGACCTGTAGAAAAATGAGTACAAGCAACGAGGAGGAAGAGGAGGAAAGTAATGAAGGACGTTTTGTTTACGACAGACTGTCTCGGTGGGGCCCAAAGTTTCAGGCTCTGAGTGAGATGTATGACCGGCCCCAGCTGGCCCTCACATACAGAGACGCTATAGCCTACATACAGAGGAGCCACAGTCACGACCCGCTGCCTCAGCATCACTAGGGGGTGGGAGGCGGGGGACACAGCCCCCCTCAACGGCACAATCATTCAACGTTTATGTGAACAGAAGGGAGATCAGTGCTGCATTCACACCTTATACCAAGTCTGGACAGAAAGAAAGGCGTTGTTCTCCAGAGCATCTGTGTTTATTATTATCATCCTGTTTATGGATAATTATGAAAATTATAAAATTTAATCCTATTAAACCACAAACGTCCATCTGGAGTTGTTGGTTTAATATGTGGGCAAATAATAATTTTTCTGAGGCACCAAAAGAATCCACTGAAATCAAATCAAAGAAAGAAACCGAATGAAAAGCAGAAGGAGTAAAGTTTGGTAAGTTGTTTTTCTACGAGAATAACCTAAATAACAAACAGGTGCTGCTCACTGCAGATGATTTTACAAGCAGCAATGAAATGAAAAACACTAAACATCAAGCAGCTGCTATGAGTATAAGCAGATAAGTTGAAATATCGATGATTTTAGGAAAAAAAACTATTAAAAACCCACATAGAGTATATAAACAACATCTAATCTGCTCCATAAGTTACTAAATTAAAGGTGTTAAAAGTCTCGGAGACATTTTTGTGTTGGCTGATGTCAAACAGCTGTGGAGGCCATCTTGAATCAAACTGACTACATAAGGTATCAGTTGTAGATGCACATCCAGTGATTAGTCTTTTTTTGTATTTTGGCAAAATATAGAAATACTTACCGTATTTTCTGCCATACACATCGCTCTGCCCTGTAAGTCGCATCAGTCCAAATATGTTTAATAAAGTAGAAAAATCCATAAATATGTTGCATCTATCATGCGTCACCACTGACATGTCACGTTTGTTGCGGCTGACAACCCAAAAATGTAGGCCGAACCCGGAAATGTGGGCCGGTGTTGTGCCAAAAATCGAATGGCTGCCAAATGGCAGCCACAGGAGCGTGCACGGGAGGACTTTAACAAGAATTTAACAAGATTAACACTTAAAAACAATTCTTTGTTTGCTCATAATTATAATAAAGGTGTGTCTCAGTCTAATTTTTGCTCAATAAATGCACTTTGACAGTCAAATCAGCTGCGTTTCAAAAGTCGATAGTAGGAACAAGCGGGACAAGTCGCTGTTCATTTCTTCACAATTTCACAAGATAAACACCTAAAAACAATTATTTGTTTGCTCAACTTTATAGCAAAGGTGTTTCTCAGTTGAACATTTACTTAATAAATACACTTCAATGGTCAAATTAGCTGCATTTCGCCGGGGCGGTGCAGCAAAATGAAGCTGATTTGACAGTTGCTCCAAGTGAGCTGGACGAAGGTGGAAAAGTATGGTAAGCCGATTGTGTCATTATTAGCCACTTTACCTATTACATGATACAACAACATGTTACATTACTCTGGTGCCATCTAGCAGCTGAAAAATGGTAATGTTCAATGTTTTCAGTCAGAATGAATGAAAACGGTCATATCTCAGCCAAAACTTGGTTTAAATATGGGAAAAATTCATAAATACATCACTTCAACGTATAAGTTTCAGGGCATGCAAATTATGCAAAAAACTTTGACTTATACAGAGAAAAATACGATATTCAGGTAGTTCACATCGGAATGTTTACTTCAGGTATCAACGTAAAATCATCTTGCATGATTGGTTGTTGAATTAGCCGATCCAGGAAGTCCAGACTTCATAAGATGTGAACAATAAGCAGAAACAATCAAACTGAGCCACAGATATTATTATTATTATTATGGAATGCATATTGAGTTTTATCATTAACATTATTTTTGGGCCTCAATTAGTAGAAAAGTTGCACAATTTAAATGAAGTAGGCTCTGGTTTTTTTTATAGTTTTCATTTCTGAACACAATCTTTTTTTTTTACTGCCACATTGTTGGACTTTTACTGATCTTTCTCTGTATTTACTCTGTAGCAGTTGCAGCCTTTTAAATGTGAACTCCACTCTAAAGTAAAGAGAAAAAGAATGCAATGTTTATTTTAAACCAGCTTGAATCTGGCGTGTGAATGCAGCAGCTCCTCTCCTGTGTGTTAATCAGTGAATCAGACATTTTCAGGGATGGAGGTTTATTGGTTTTTATTTAGCTTTTTGTTTTTGTCAGGTTTCAGAAGCTTAAAGTGGACAAAAAGCACAAAGAGAATTTGTTGCTGGTTCATTTCCCATCTTTACACGGGAATATGTCACCCAACATCATTTTTCTATTTCTTTTTTCCTTTAAAAGCAGTTCTTTGTGTTGACGTTATTCCGTGTTTAAGCTGTTTTGTGGGTCGCTGTGCTTTGCCTTTGCAAAACCGGACTCTCAGGGTCAAAAGATGATGTTTTGCTGAGGAAATATTACCATCAAATGATGTGAAAGCATTCAGGGTGAGTGGAGCTTCAGTGTGGAGGAATTATTCTGGTACACTTGAAATCTCAAACAACATTAAGGCCTTGAAGAGAACTCAAAATTCTCCTTAAAGAGCATTATATTGGAGCTTTTTACTGTTCATTTTTCCACCCAGACAGGTTTAATTTTGACCCTTTATTCACAGCTCACGTCAAAAAGAAAATCTCTCATGGACATTTTAATTTAGCTGATTTTAAACAACTAAACTGGATATTCCTTGAGAAGCACTTGTTCAGTTTAGTGCTTTCTGGATTTCTAGAATAACAAAACCCTCAAAACACTCAATAACCAGCTTTTAATTCTCTTTTCTACCTTCTTATTGCACTATAGGAAATGATTCAGGATGCTAAAGTTAGAAAAACAGAAGCTCTGTGAGCTCATCGAGTAGAACGCAGAGATTCTACTTTAAAATCAGCTTTGAGGGAAAAAATAATCTATTTTTCTACTCCCTAAAAGAAACTTTCAGAATATCCTCTCCAGCTGTTTTTGGTTGTGGGCTGTTAAATTGCTCATTGGCACCACTCGGACTGTTTCTTTGTCTTTTATTTGTGAATTTCACTAATTTAACTCGTTTTGTTAATCACTAATTAGTCTGCCTATTTAAAAAAATGATCAGTGGCATTTCCAGCTGTTTTATATTTTTGTAGGATAAGGTGCATACAGGTGTGTGGGCGTTGCACTGATTTAAAATTTGAGGTGTGACTTTAAAGAAAACAATTAAATTAAAGAGCTAGCTTTCTTTCAAGGAATGATTTATGGCTTAAGTTCATCTTGTGCTGAGACAGAGGTGCAGATGTTTTTGTTAAACCTTCAAAATATTCTCGTGCATGATCTCTTGTGAGATGTCACACTCAGAGTTTGGGATGTGAATGTCACTTCAAACTGCATCAAGTTTGGCCTCAGTATCTAGAATTGACTGAATTTTGACAAATGTTCTGTTTAGTTTAAATTAATTGACTGTTAATCATTTTGAATTGGGCTGACTCAAATAGGTAATCGGTTGTAGATGTACGTCAATCATTTGCTGAAAGTTTTATGTAAATCTTTAGATTCATGATTTTTTTTAAATTCTTTTATTTTTTTATTTTTTGCTAACAGACGACGGAACGTTGGGGCCATGCTATGGGAAAAAGTTGATTACAAATGGGAATAAAGAATAAAGTCTTAGTTTTACAACAATAAAGTCATGACAATAAAGTTGTAATTTACAAGAATAAAGTCATAGTATTACGAGAATAAAGTCATAGTATTACGAGAATGAAGTAGAAACACTGCGAAAATAAAGTCATATGACAATAAAGTTATAGTATTACAAGAATAAAGGCATAGTATTACAAGAATAAAGTCATAGTATTACAAGAATAAAGTCATAGTATTACGAGAATAAAGTGGAAACACTGCGAAAATAAAGTCATAATATTATGAGAATAATATTAACAAAACTGGACATGAAAAATCAGTCTTACAACTGCAGTAAAATGATTAATGTTGAGGTCAGCAGTACAACAGCAGGGGGCCCAACACACTGTGGCATATGGGTTCTTATGATAAACTGAAGCCGTATGGTATTGCAATTAATGGCTGCAATGACGGATTTAGTCATCACATAATATGGATGGAAACATATTTCACAAACTGTGACCAAAAGTCATCACAGACGACTTCATAAACACACTGAGTCGCATCGGAGGCTGTCCACAGCAGGTGCAAACCAACCCAGGACAAATTATGAGTTTATTCTCGTAATATTATGACTTTATTCTCGTAAAACTTCGACTTTATTCTTGAGATATTTCGACTTTATTCTAGTAATACCACGACTTTATTCTTGTAATACTACAACTTTATTCTCATAATATTAAGACTTTATTCTCGTAATACTTCGACATTATTCTCGTAATACTTTGACTTTTTTCTCGTATTATTTCGACTTTATTCTTGTAATATTACAACTTTATTCTCATAATACTATGACTTTATTCTTGTAATATTTTGATTTTATTCTTGTAATACTATGACTTTATTCTCGTAATATTTCGACTTTATTCTGGTAATATTTTGACTTTATTCTCGTAATATTATTACTTTATTCTTGTAATATTGTGAAATTATTCTCGTAATATTATGACTTTATTCTTGTAATATTATGACATTATTCTCATAATATTATGACTTTATTCTAGTAATAATATGACTTTATTCTCACAATATTTCAAATTTATTCTCATAATATTTCAACTTTATTCTCATAACACTACGACTTTATTCTTGTAATATTTTGATTTTATTCTCGTAATATTATGACTTTATCCTCGTAATACTTGGACTTCATTCTCGTAATATTATGACTTTATTCTCCTAATATTTTGACTTTATTCTCGTAATATTATGACTTTATTCTTGTAATACTATGACTTTATTCTTGTAATATTTTGACTTTATTCTTGTAATACTATGACTTTATTCTCGTAATATTTCAACTTTATTCTCGTAATATTTTGACTTTATTCTTGTAATATTATGACATTATTCTCATAATATTATGA